TCCGGTCACCCCGCAGAACACTGACTCATCCTCCAAACATTATGTTTTGAATGAGGGGGTATAAATACTAACTCCACTCGACCAAGGGAGGTCTCTTGCCCATTTGTTCAGCTGAGAAACACCTTGAGAGTGCAAGGGAGAGCAAGAGCCTAGTGAGGTGATTGAGATTTGAGAATCCAAGATTAAGGTCCTCATTAGTGTAAGGAGAGTAACAAGTGTGCATCCACCCTTCTCATTATGCTTGTTGTGGTCAAGTGAGAGTTTGTGCTTGTTACTCTTGGTGATCGCCGTCACCTAGACGGCTCGGTGGTGATGGGAGATCATCTGGCGGAGCTTGTGGATGACCCAACTCAAGTTGTGAGCGGTTGTGGGCGATTCACCACGACGGAGTGTCAAAGAATCAGCCTGTACAGAGCACTTGATCCTTGCACGGATCAAGGGGGAGCTACACCCTTGCGCGGGTGCTCCAACGAGGACTAGTGGGGAGTGGCGACTCTCCGATATCTTAGGAAAACATTACCGCGTTCCTTTCCCTCTCTTTACTTTAAGCATTTATATTTGAACAATTCGTTTTATGTCTTTACATTCATAGAATTACCATGCTAGAGTAGGATTGGAACCTAGGGTGCAAAACTTTTGTGCGGTAGAACAATAGAAACACATTCTAGAAAAAGGGGTGAAGTGGGCTAAGTGTAGGGCTTAATTATTGCAAAGAATTTAGAATTAGCCAAATTCACCCCCTCCTCTTGGGCATCTTGATCCTTTCAGATGCAACATGGTTGTGTGACTGTGACTCCGGCAAAAACGGTTGAGCATGCGGCACATGTTGCAGAGGTACATTAGGATACACATTTGATACCGGTCCATAAGGAACCCCGGTACCCATAGATGGCAAAGATGGAGCAGTATATGACTATCGTCTGATAATAAGGTTGTTGCAAATTAAAATTCACAACTCGGTTGCCTGCAGTCGATGATTGCAGAACCAAAGTTATAATAGCAGAATTAGAAGCACTAGGCGCAAAATTAGATGCAAAATTATTGGCTGAATTGCTAACAAAATTCCGACCACTTTGATTGTCACCTAAGGTAACATTAGGCTGCACAGTACTAGCCGATGCATTAACTGTAGAAGTGGCATTCGGCAGCTCTGCCGAATAATTTTCAAAATGCACAGGCTGTTTTTCGAGATGTTCATCCCTAACTTGTAACACTGATGAATGAACCTGTCGAGGTAAATTATTTAGGAAGTCTTGATTAAATTGTGATTTAAACTCATCAAATTTACCAAACAAAGAATCATTCATTATGCGTGTCAGATGTTCCATCTGTGTGCCATATTTACTAGCCACCGATACGTCAATTAGATGACTAATTTCTTCAGCGGAAGGTGATTTACTTACCTCGGTGCTAGGTGAAGCGGAAGAGACTAGTGCAACTACCTTGCTGATGACACCGTTCCTCGTCTTCTGGAAGCATGCTAACTTTCTCTGTAGACTCGCTAGTCTCTCTTCCCCGAGCTCCGTTTCAATCTCCCGCCATCCCTCTTTAGATAGATCATCGAGCGTGACGGCGATGACGTTGTCGGTGTCGATCTAGCTACCGTCCTTGGGGCTGGTGTCCATTGCTTGTTTCTTCTTCCCCAGCGGAGTCGCCAATTGTGTTGGCACGCAAAATTGATCCGCGCAACAACACGATAACTATCGTACTTTTGCAACGACAAGCGATTGCTTTTCCGAGCAAAGCAACAAAGGATCCTCGCTTTCGTGGAGGAGAGCCGACCGTTTTTCAGCGCAAAACAGCAAAGATGAACCAATCCCTAGGGAAGTTAGGGCTCAGCAAAAACTATGAACTACTATGCTGGAAGAAAATGTAGATGAAAAAGTAATGTATATTGTGTATATGTCGATTGATCCGAAGAAAAACAATAGTCCGCGCGCGCGCACACACACAATATATATATATATATATATATATAAATTATTTTCTACTCCTAGAGAGTAGTTACTTCCATGTGTATATCTCTAGATTTATGGCGTATATGGTCCGATGAAGTGTATGTAAATGGAGTATATCATCATACTATACCATTTATGGTATTATATATGACAAGTATGTATATATACTTATAGTATATGGTTATATTTATTTTATATGCTACTATCATAGTATTATATAATATATTAAAAAATATGTGCTCTTTTAAAAAAAAATCACATAGTAAAGATCTGGAGTATCTTAATATTAGTATGTCAACATACTTATACTGATAAATGAGTATGTATATATACGCAACATGATTTATTAATTATAGGAGTAACTACTCCTGGGAGTATATAAAATGCACTATATATATATATATATATATATATATATATATATATATATATATATATATATATATATATATATATATATATATATATATATATATATGTGTGTGTGTGTGTGTGTGTGTGTGTGTGTGTGTGTGTGTGTGTGTGTGTGTGTGTGTTGGGTTTGGGGGGGGGGGGGCGCCTGGTCTTGGGCAGAGATACGTTGTATATATGTACGAGTACTTCTTTGGTATGGAAATAGAATAGAATATCCCTATTAATCATCTGGTTTGTTGGCATTGTTCCTGATAGGTATCAAAAATCCCTCCGTCCAGCCAATCAGAGAGCTTGGACCTTCCAGCCAAACAATTAACTGACGTTAAAAATCTTTTCCGTTCCCTTCCTCTGATATTTCTCTTGCTTGCCTTCTCCAGTACGTCCATCAAAATAACGCCTAACTGCACATGCATATATCTGATCGTACTCCTTCACCAGCGCTATAGCTAATCCACGCATGATCATTGGCTCCTACACCTTGATGCCAAACTGCTACCAGCCAGCACTCGCCAATCCAGAATGTCTTTTTGCTCCTCCTGCATGCTGCTGTTAGACTAGCTAACAAATTGATCAGAATACTTGTCAGCGACCGATTTATTTTGCTCAAACATTAAATCGGCCAATGAAAATATTGCAGTAGCCTATCAACAGGACATTGCTAAAATCCAAATTTCACTACAAACCCGGCGCATCCAAATTATGACATCAACAGCCGGTAGTTCGGCCAACCACCGCTAGATCCGCGCGACCATGCCGGCGACCATCCGCGCGAGGGCAGTTCGTGCTCCGCCAGCGGCTGTGCATGTGGGGTGAGGCCGTGAGGGCCAAGGGCGAGTGACTACTCTGGCATCCGCGTCATGCACCCGGGAGTTCCCGGACTTCATAGAACGATGGGAGAGGCCAATGTACATCTCCAACGGCGTCCTCGGCCGGCAAGCTCTACCAAGCAGCCCTGCCACACGAGGAGAACACAGAAGCACTCCTGCCCGCAGCCCCACCGAGCTCCGTGTATGACCCGGACCTCGAGGAGTCGAGATCGCCAGTTTCGACAAGTTCCTAGACACTACGGAGGAGCAGTACAAGGCGTACGCCGAGAAGCTGGGCACTCTGATGACCTACTACTCCGCAGAGCGCGAGGACGAGAATCTGACAGGCAACATCCGGAACAAACTGGTGTGTATCTGCGCTCTGCGGCGGGACAACAAGCGCTACTTCGAGATGAAGGACCGTATCGTCGCCGCCGTCGGCACCCTGCACGCGGAGGTGAGGGGTGGCTCGGGGCGTCCACGGACGATGACGCATTGAAGGTGGCGTCGGCGTGGTACCATGTGACGTACCACCCGGACCGCCGCGGCGAGAAGCGGTTTTGGAGCTTCCCATGGATCGTCTGTGACACCCTGCTAGCGAGCAAGGCGGCACGCAGGTGCCAGAAGCGGGTGGAAGACGGTACCACTGTGACAGTTAAGTTAGCTTGTGCTGCGAGTGGAAAATAGGTAGCATTGGATTTATCAAGAATTGATGATTAAAACATTATGTTAATAATCTACCTGTTGCAAATTATGAGTCGTTCCACCTTTCTTAGGTAAGAGATTAAAATAATAATTACTTAATTGTCTCAAACTCATGAGTCATACTCATACGGGTTAGATAGCGTATGTCCAACCAACGTATGGAGTCTGATTTCAAAACGTATTAGAACAAATGGCACATGATATAAATCCTGTTGCAACGCACGTGCATGTTTGCTAGTAATATTTCTATTCTCTAGTTGATCGTCCGATACTAGTACAACTTCCTCTTTCTTGATCCGGTTAATTAAACAATTATAATCTTTTCCTCTGTCTCAAATACTTCCACCTCCGTGACCAAGTCAAACAAATAATCCTGCACGTCAGGGGCCAGCAAGAATATAATGGGGATTCTGTTCATATGCACAATCCTGGCCTCTTACCACAAATACTGCTCGAGCCTATGAATTACGTACTTTTCGAGCCTCTATCCGTGAATTACGTACAGAAATCGTTCATGTTCGCTTGTTTTATGAGCCGTACTATTTCAGCGAACAAATAATGTTTTTTCTCACAACAAATCAGCGAACGATACTTTCAGCCATGGCTTTTCTGCAGAGCGAACAGTAACGGAAATCCTCTCCACACACCCTCATACCTGTTGGTCATCTGGCATGTTCCTTGTCTCTTCATGTGTATACTCCAGCATGGAACGCCCTTGGCCCTGTTACAACTCTTAAGCAATGTGTCAACTAATTTAGATTAATTATCAATAATATAATTTGGCCAATCATGACATATTCTCTAGCCAAATTACACCATCAACACAATCAACCAATCAAATAAACCATTTTTAAAGCTCATTAAGCCGTCACACCAGATGATAAACGAACAACAGGCATATAGGAGGAGTATGTACCGCAGTACCGTACCGCGCCTCCTATGTACATGTACGTGTGTGTGTATATATATATATATATATATATATATATATATATATATATATATATATATATATATATATATATATATATATATATATACTTGCATTGCTTCCTTTTCAGTTTACTGTACTGTGTACGTGTATCGTGTACCCACGCCACACCTCGAGTCAGCTTGTTTACATCTCGTCGCGGTAGCTGCCGGCCCTCATGTGCCCGTGGCCGTGCTCGCCGGCGCCTCCGGTCGCGTTCCTCAGGCTGTGCCACACGTAGACGGTGATCCCGAGGAGCACCACCACCACGACCGCCACGTTCACCAGCAGGCCGCGGCTCGCCGAGGCCGGACTGGGCTGGTTCACCAACGCCATCTCTGCTAGTATTGCATCCTTCTGCTGCTGCTCCGTTGCCTTCTGATCCTGCACCATCTCCTGCTTCCTGTCCTCAGCCATCTTCCCCTCTTCCTCCCTCTTCCTCATCTGCTTCTCCACCTCCTCCTTCGGCCTTGAAACAGCCCCCAGCGGCGACTGGGGCTTGGTGGTTGCAAGTTGTTCCACTTCCGGCGGCGGCGCCGGTGCCGGTGCCGGCACGGGAGCGTACGGCTTCCTCGGCATCGACGGCCTGGGCTCGACTGGCGGCTTCACGGAAGGAGCAGGAGCAAACGGCGCCGCCGGCACCGTGGGCGGCGAGCCGGTAGGCCTCGCCGCTGGCTCAGGAACCGCCGGCGGCGGCGGCGGAAGCATCTGCGGCGGCGCCGGCATGGGCGGCCTCCTTGGCGGCGCCGGCATGGGCGGCGAGGGGGCGTTCTTGGGGAGCGTGATGGTGAGCCTCTCGTTCTCGAACTTGGCGCGGATGCCGTCGGCGTTGCAGTTGGCGGGGAGCTCGAAGTCCTTGTGGAAGCGGCTCCACCTGTTGGCGACGATGGGCCGCTCACCGCGCGTCCGCAGGTGGCCGTGGTTGTCCACCAGCACGCGGATGTCCTCCCTCTTGAACCCTGCAGCCCCAGCGATCGATTTCAATGGCAGTAATCGCTCGACGCACTAGCCATGCATGATCAAGCGACGAGCTTTTTCTCACGAAAAAAAACCAAGGGATCGATTGCTTGCCTTGGAGCCAGAGTTTGACGGCGTCGGCCTCGGCGGAGCGGCTCCACTCGACGGCGGGCTCGTACTCCTCGTAGGTGCGGTTGTTGGCCATGGCTGCGGTTTCCTCGCGTGTCCTGTAACCTGGAACGGCTAGCTAACGTGATGTGCTTTCGGAATGCGTCTGCTGCTGCTGCTGCTGCTGTGTTGATGGCAATGGGCGTTCGTGGTGGATGTATATATATATACAAACACTGCCAAGTGCAGTAAGGAGATATTGGGGAGGAGAAAGATAGATTCGATGGCCATGAACATGGCTTTGTGGACAAGTGACCGTCTGGATTTTTCTCGCCTCCCAGCCTGGGCAACGCAAAGCAATCGACGAAGTATACCTTGCTTGTTTTCAGGGAATGGATTTTATGAATGCATGTGAATTTGCAGGAGACGTTGGTCCGGGGCTGAAGAGAAGCATATTAATCTGAGTGGGATAGGATTTACTAGAATTCAGGTCCATGATTCAGCGACGGAGTAGTTTCGAATAACAATGACCAAGCTGCATTTTGATCCCTTCCCCCTTTCTATTTGTCAGTACAACTTGAACTAGTTATTTCGACCTAGGCCAAGTCTAATAGTCAGATTTGTACCTGGTATTTGTGATGTGATGTTGATCTGTCAGGAAATCCGTATCCAGGGGCATTGTGATTTGTGAAGCAGAGCGAAATCCCGTAACCACAAGCATTGTGATTTGTGAAGCAGAGCCTTTGAGTAATTTTAATGCACAGGAGTGTAGCACACTCGAAATTTAATCTCATTCTCTCCCGTAAACGAAGTGTATCTTCCACATACCGTTACACCTTTATGATTACAACATCACATCGAATCCTTTGATGCATCGTGCTTTTAAGCATGAAATGAGGGGAAGAAAAAGCAAAAGGGGATAGTTCAGTAGCTCCTAAAGAATGTTTCGATGTAGCTACAGCAGCTAGCTCAGCGCCATATCATGTAGCACAAGGAAAATTCTCCATAGAGTTGACTCTTTTGATTTGCAACAAGGTGCAAGCTTTAGCACTCATGTATGCCCACGGCCTCCACATTTGGAGCACATGATGTTCCCAGTTCCTCCACAACCTACAGTAGTTTGAGATATCAGCAGGTATATGTCATGTATCATCTGTATAGCAGGAAGCAACTGTTGCACAAAATGTGCTTGTCAAGCTTATTACCTAGGCATCTGACTTTCACAATGATTCCTTGGCTCTCTAGTATTGAGTCGACATACAAGCCTGAACCACCGCATGTTGCACACAGTACAGCACCTTTAGCTTCACAGCTTGAGCAGGGAGGGTTGTCCCCAACATTCTTCTTTTCCAAATTTAGACCGGATGGTTTTCCAATATTCTCCTCTGGGACAGATTTGTCGTAGCAGAATAACGATTCAAGATTACTTCTATTTCTTTGGAGGTCATAAATTGCACTTGCTTTAATCTGTGCGGCAAGAAAAAATTATCAGTCTCTTGAAACAAATTTCCTTTCAGCCTGATAAGCAAAATCCAATGTGCATAATGGAATTGAGCATAACAAAAGAAAAAAGGAGAAGAAAACGACAATTTGTCCGGCAAGATTTCTCAATAGTCGATAGGCATGGAAAGCATGCCTGTGATTGATCTATAGGCAAATAGGTTTGTGAATGCTGAACACTGGATACTGATCAGTACTTTATATCATTGACACACATTGGTGATAGCAGTGAGTTAGATTGCCATGGCAACTCTACGAATTTTAAAGAAAGCACATACTACAAGACTACAGGTTCAGGCTTGCACAACAACAATTAACGCCAGCTACCACTGAGTATTCACATGCAGCCCTTGCCATATGTAAAGGCACACACTTGTGCATGACAACCAGAGAAACATGCCTGAGGGAGATGCAGGAACCAAATTTGATAACAGGGAGGTCCCAGTAACAGGAGACCAATTAGATAAAAATCAATACTACATGTATATTCACATGGTTAAATCGAAGCATGCGTACTACAGCTATATTCACATGGTTACACCGAAGCACGCATACTTCAGCTACATTAACATGGTTAAATCAACGAGAGCATACTACAGCTATATTCACATGGTTAAACTGAAGCACGCATGCTACAGTTACATTCACATGGCTAAATTGAAGCACACGTACTAAAGCCATGTTCACATGGTTAAATGGACACACGCATATTACAGCTATATTCACATGGTTAAATCCACACTCTATCTGCTCCTATAGTCCTATTCAATATACACGGTCATGTTTCTCTGATATAACTTGTATGGCATATATAGCTAAAGACATGCTAGTACGCTACTCTACTTGGTTTCTCAAAAAAAAAAAATGTTGCTTGCACTGATAGATCCCTCAGTGTAGCTTTTGTAATATGCATTAAATGTATACTCAACTGAAAGCATCTTTATTGATCAATTAATTAATTAATTCCTTGTGAACTTCAGCAACAGTATCTTCACTCATCAAACACCCAAAGAACTAAAATGAACCGGTAGTATGATCATAGATAGAACAGCCTATCCCTCACAGGCTGCTGTTCATAGCCTCCTGTTTCAGCCTGTTCGTTTGGCTGTGGCTTGTCGTAACCGATCGTAAATTTCCAGCCGGAACAAGTATTTTTCTCTCACACAAACCAGCTAGCAGTACTTTTTCACGAACCAGCAACGAAACGAACCAACCAACCGAACAGGCTGAAAAATTATAGCCATCCAGTTTGTTCATGGAGGCTACTGTTCCACACAATTTACTAGTTTAAGGCTCTAAGCATGTTCTTGGCACATTTAGAGAACTAGTAACAATTGGAACAGCAATATTTTCAGAGGCCAAATAAATTTAAGAGCCTTCCATGCTGTCAGTCACGTATCTTCTAGGTGCAAAATTTCCGTACAATAATGTTTGCCTTTAGCATTTTATCTGGTAAGACAAGAAAGCATTATCTGGGGGAGCAAAACGTAACAAAAATGGCGCACAAGTTACAACAGAATCCAGCGACCCTGGAGCTCTGCAAGCAGCAATCTCGAACAGGAGGACGAGATCGGCGTACCCATTGGCCCCCACGCCGCCGCAAACGCTAAACTAGAAATTCACACCTCGCGAGGGGGCGGAACAGTGGTGGAACAGGAGGAGAGGGGGAAAGGAGCCCCACCTTAATCGCGCGGGGCACGGACCGCACCGAATGGGAAGCCGCGCGCGGCGGCACCGACGCGGACCGACGGCCTCGGACCGACGCTGCCGCAGCGACGGGCGGCGGCCGGAGCCCAGCGGAGACCTCCATGCGCTCCTAGAGGAGATTTTTCTTGGGCTGGCCGTCGCAGCGGAGGGGAAAACCGGAAGAGCCGAAGAAGAGGAAAAGGGAGCCGGCGAGCAGCTCCAACTTCTTGTTGCGCTTCTCAGATTTCCAAGCCCCAGCAGCTTCGGGTTCATCGCCCCCAGCACGAGAGGGCCCACTTGCAGAGAGCCGATCGATGGCCCGGAAACTGAGCAGCAGTTCCCTCTGGCCTGTCAAGAATGGAGTGTGAACGACATTGCGGGCTGGCCTGTTGCTATGGGCTTAGACCTCAGATCGGCAGCGGTTTGTTGTTAAGTGGGCCGGTCCATCTTCAGAATTCGACTACAGCCCAGATACGTCAACATTTTCGGCTCGGTTCGCTTGAATTTGTGGCTTATCAGGCATGAAGTATTATTTTTCTCTCGTAATAAATCAGCTTCAGTCAACTTATCAGCCGCAGAAACCATCAACTTGTTTGGGACGCCTCTCTGTCCTGTACGTACTATCATCTGCCGATGTTGCGCGCACAGGGCCACTGCCGGCGGTCCACAGCGGCAGGGCCATCGCTGTTGCTGGTGCTGCACCGCGCCTTTTTTGTGGAGCGATGCATCTGATGCGAATCTCCCACCTGAATCAAAAGCTGAAGTGCAGTGTGGGCAGACATTTTAGATCGGTAGATCCTCGAAGTGCCATGACATGTATCCTGAAATCGCTCTCCTAGGACACACTACGAAAACATATATGGCATGGTTGTGGTTGGAGGACTTGTAGGGAACGTGAGACGCTCCAGATCATAGATCAGCCCCACCAGCACCAGGTGAACTCTGGTGGTAGGAAGGAAACGACTGAAGTTGAAGAACGACTTGTAGGTTGTAGGCCTGTTTTCTTACACAAAAAAAAAGGAAAAATTACGAGCCAACTGGGCTTTTCGTACCTCAAATCAAAAGACACAAGAGCTCAGTTGCACCGTCCTCACGCAACTCGTTCCTGCGATCCAAGCTGCACACGTACGTACGTACCATATCTTCACCGCGCGAATTGACGACGACGTAGGCGAGCTCCGAGCGGCGGCCGCGTCGGGGTCGACTGGTCGTCGTCTCCGTCTTCCTCTCTCCCGCCTCGACGTATCTTCTTCACGTGCACATAGGTTAGGTTGTCCCTTTGTTTGGTTAGGTTAACCATTAAACTCACTGGCCACGGACTCGCTGAGCTTCTGGCGCGGGCGGATATGGGAAACGAGACGACGGAGAGTGACGCGACGGATACGTCGTGTCAACCGGTAGACAGCAGCCGTGCCCAGCGACGTAGGACGGTAGGAGTACGCGGTGTCGCCTGATCAGCGCGCCATTTCAGCGGAGGTCCCCGATCGAAACTTCCATTTTACTCCCTCCGTTAACGAAAGGAAGCAACTGTGGGATTCGTGCCGCTTAAATTAGTTCAAGTGTGTATTAAATTACTCAAATTATTTGCTCTTCTTTGTGGTGCTCTGGTGAAAACGTGCACCGGGAGCGCTCCCGCCCCTCCCCCTCCCCGCCGCCGGCCACTTAGCCCCGGCGTCCACCCGCACTCGCCGCGGCCGTCTGCGCCCGCGCCGACCACCAAGCAATGGAGCGTGGTTCTCCCTCCCGCCGCTCTTGGGCGGTCGAGGTTGAGGAGGAGGAAGCCTCTTGTAGCTCGGCGAGATCCACCATCCAGCAACTCCCTCCGCTAGCAGCCGCTGCCCACGCCGGCCACGTCCTCCGAACGAGCACCCTCGACCCTGACGCCGATCCCTTCTCTGCGTCGCCGGAGGGTTCCGGTGGCAGGCTCCACTTCTCCGACTCCGAGGCCTCGCTCGACGACTCCGACGCTCCCTCACCTGCGGGTCGCGGGAAGGAGGTCCGTCTGCCCAGGCGCCAGCGCAGGCGTCGTCGTCGCCCCAACAACTCCGGCTTCATGGCTGACGCGCGTCGCGCTCATGCCCGACCATCGTCGCCCCAACCGGCCAGGTCGCCGCAGACGGCCAGACTCAAGTCCGTGGTCGTCCACCCCGCCCGCATGTCGGCTGTGCCGGAGGCCGATGGTTACAGGCAGGTGCACAGCCGGCGCCGCTGGCGTCGTGCGGTTGTCACGCCTGAGTCTCGGCCGGTGCCGTCGGACCTCGTTGGCAAATGCTTCAACTGCTTGGCCGGCGATCACGTGAAGGCGGATTGCACGCAGCCATCCAAGTGTTTCAACTGCAAGGAACCTAGTCATCAGGCTCGGGACTGCCCTCTCCCTCTGGTCGCTGGGCGCTGGGATGGCAAGCGCGGCCGCTCCCCAGTTCGTGTCGGTGGATTCGGCCGGGGCGCTCGTCGCCGTCGGGCTTCTCCTGGCGGCCACCGCTCTTCGGCCTCCGGTACCGCGTCGACGCGCTCGGTCTCCACCAGGAGAGAGCCCTCCGTCCCGCCGGGTTGTCGTCCGCCGACCCCAGAGCCGTCTACGGCTGCGCCGGTGGGCGAGTCGCCCCACGGGAGTCATGCTACCCTCGTGGATGCCCCGGAGCCGGGCAACCAGGTCGCCCTTGGTGCCGACGCCGATGGCGGCAACGTCGCCCCCGAAGCTGCTGCCAGCGCCGACGGCATCGCACGGGCCGTGGACGCCCCGGCGCGCCCCCACCCCGTCCCGCGTGCCCTGCTGCAGCGGGCACAAGCTCCGTCGGCCTCTCCTCGGACGCGTGCGAGGACGTCGCTACTCGCGATGGTGGTCGTGCCCCGCACGGCGGCTCTCCAGGCGGTGGAAGACGCGTTGTCGCTCGCCTTGACCGCGCTTGTTCTCGGCACGCGGACGCCGGTGTCTCCGGCAGCCGTGAAGTCCCTACTCGGTGAGTACTTTGGCATTGAGGACGATGTCGTCACCATCCATCGCACGAGGCCGGACGACTTCATCGCGCGATTCACCCGGCCGGAAGACCTGGAGACTGTGCTGAGCACCCCATGGCCGGTGGCTGCTCCATTCCAGCTGCGTTGGCGTCGATGGAGGGTCTGTTCATGGCGTCCGCCGGAGCGTTTCACTTCCGGGTGCTTGTCGGGATCAAGGGCATCCCTCCCATGCGAGATCTGCTGACATCGCCCAAACCATCATGGGCTCCTCTTGCGCGAAGGTCGACATCGCCAACCCCGACGCACTTGGGGACCCGGACGATGAACGGGAGCTGTTCGTCGCAACGTGGTGTGCTTGTTAGAAAACACCAGTGCCTCTAAAATCGTAGATGGGGTAAGCATCTTACTTAGTGTTCCTCTAGTTCGTCCTGGCGCAGTTGTGCCGTAGCCTCGTGGACGCCGGTGTCGAGGGAGCTCGATGCGGTGGAGAGGAGGCGAGGTCCAGTGGTCCGGTGGTGACATTGTAGGGGCGAGGAGAGGTGACGGCGGTGTCGGTGGGCTTCCCGTCGCTGGCAGCACTCACTTTAAATCGGATTAGGTTTCTATGTAGGTGGTAACGGCGGCTCCGGCCAACCTTGTTATTAGAGTCGTGATCCCACATATCTTTTATAGTGCTGTGCGACAGGGATCCATCAACCATATTAGCGTTGGACGCCCCCGATCAAGAGCGCAGATCCAAGGTTGGGCCTATTGGTGGAGATCAACTAACATTCTCCCCTTGATCTCACTACCATATTTTAATTTCATATCATTTATTTTTGTTCATTCCATTACAGATTAGCGCATAGAGCATGTTTCATCGTCACGGTCAATTACCGATAGATTTAACAGCTACAACACGCCACTCTGTTCTGAAATAGATACTTAACTTTGGTTCTTCTTTTGTCCAGGAATTTTAGGCTTTCCCTTAAACCCATGCTAGCTACATGTTCTCTGAACACGTTGGGTGGTAAGTCTTTTGTAAGCAGATCCGCGAGCATCTTTTCGATACTTATATGCTCAAGACTTATGACATGATCCCAGACTTTATCTTTCACAAAAATATACTTTATGTCAATGTATTTGGCAGCACCACTTGACTTATTGTTGTGAGCATACTGTACTGCCAGATTATTATCGCAATATAACTTAAGTGGTCTATAGATATCGTCAACCACCTTCAAACCGGGTATGAACTTCTTTAGCCAGTTCACCTGCCCCGTTGCCTCATAACACGCTACAAACCGTCATACATTATGGACGATGTAGTGACGGTTTGCTTTGATCTTTTTCATGAAATAGCTCCCCTGCGAGAGTGAATACATATCCAAACGTGGATTTTCTATCATCTCCCGTATAATCAGAATCTGAATATCCCACTATATAGAGTGAATCAGATCTTCTATACATCATCATAAGGCATTTCGTTCCTTGCAAATAACGCAAGACTTTCTTTACCACTTTTCAATGTTCTGTTCTAGGATTGCTCTAGAATCTACCAAGTAACCCGGTAACAAATGTCAAGTCTGGGCGCGTATATACTTGAGCATATTGCAAGCTTCGACAGCTGAAGCATATGAAACCACTTTCATTTGATCGATCTCATATTAGTTTCTGGGGCATTTAAAATTCCCATATCTATCGCCCTTGACTATAGGAGTAGGTGAGGGACTACATTTGTGCATACATAATTTCTTTAAGATCTTTTCTATGTATGCCTTTTGTGACAGTTCTAATACCCCTTTACTTCTATCTCGGTGAATCTCGATCCCTAAAACGAACGAAGCTTCACCAAGATCTTTCATATCGAATTTTAAGGGCAAAAACATCTTTATCTCTAGTAGTAGACTGATATCACTACTAGCAAGTAAGATATCATCCACATATATGACAAGAAAGATAAATTTTCCATTCTTAAACTTTGCATAGACATAATTGTCCTCTACATTCTCTTTAAAATCCAAAATTTCTTATTGTCTGATCAAACTTCAAGTACCACTGTCTTGAAGCTTGTTTTAATCCATAAATGGATTTCTTTAGGCGGCACCCCATTCGTTTTTTTCCTTTCATGACAAAACCTTTTGGTTGTGCCATGTAAACATTTTCTTCCAAGTCTCCGTTGAGAAATGTCGTCTTTACATCCATCTGATGTAATTCTAAATCGTAATGTGCCACTAATGCCATTACTATTCTGAAGAAAATCTTACATGAGACTGGAGAAAATGTCTCATTGTAATCAATGCCTTCTCTTTTCGTAAAGCCTTTTGTCACGAGTCACGCTTTATATATCTCTATATTCCCTTAAGAGTCAAGTTTTGTTTTGTAGACACATTTATAGCCTACTATTTTAGCTCATTTAGGAATTATTTCCAAGTCCTAAACTTTATTGGCATTCATAGATTTCATTTCATCTTCCATGGTCTCAAGCCACTTTGATGAATGATCATTTCTCATGACTTCTTCAAATAAGGTGGGATCAACCTCCATTTGAAATTTCTCAGTGTTGTATACTTCATAGTCAGCAGGAATAGCTGATTTTCTAACTCTTTGAGACCTTCTAGGGGCCTTCACATTTGGCACATCTTTTGTTTTGGGCTATTGTTGCTCCCCCTCATGTGTGGCAATAGGTTCTATAGGATCCTAAAGAACAGGTTCCTCATCGTCATTCATTGTTGCTATAGGCGG